ACTGTCAAAAACCAGAAGATGGATAATGCATGAATTCACTATTAAAGCAGCTGTTCTTTTCTAAAAGCCTATATCTATTTTTATTCCAAAACTGTACTGTTAATTTATTGTAGCTTTGCTTCTGTCTCCTTACTGTCTTGTAGTCCTGGAGAACTGTAATTTCTTTTTAAAAAATGATTTACGTATATATGTATGCATGCATGTATGTATGAGTGCTCTACTTGCATGCATACCTTCATGATAGAAGAGGGCATCAGACCCCACTATACATGACTGTGAGCCACCATACGGTTACTGGGAACTGAGCTCAGGACCTCTAAAAAAGCAGTCAGTGCTCTTAACTACAGAGCCATCTCTACAGCCTCCTGACTGTAATTTTTTCTAGCTACTTCCCATTAAACTTCATAGTTTCTTATAAACCTTGAAACTTGTGACATGGTGATTAACATCAAAACATTCATGATTAGATATTAAAAATCAAACAAAATTCTACTTTCAAACAAAGTTCATTTTATTAGAAAATTTGGGGGACGGCATCCTGGTGAGATGTGGGTGTGAAGGATTGAAGAAGAGGAGGAATGCTTGTGGAAGCCTGCTTTCCACAACCTCAGTGCAGCGTGTCCTCCTCCTTTCATCCCAGGCTTTCCTTCTAACCTCCTTCCACCTCTCTAGTTACATTCAGTTTTGTTTCCCTTTAAGTACAACCCAGAGGTGATTAATGTGTATGATATCTGTGTCAGAGACTTTCAAACACTGAGATACACTCTGGGTCAAAATCAGAATGGTACAAACCCACCACACCACTTACTGCTCTCTAAGAAATCAAAAAAACAGGAGTACTGCTAAGCTTTGATAAATAACCTTGCAGTAGCAAGCTACTAAGATGTTGTTATATGTCCTTCCAGTGTCCTGCCTTGTGCACAGAGACATCATCTCAGGGGTGTTCCCCAAGTGTCTGCAGTGATATCATCCCTCTCAATGAGGGCGACATCTTTGCAGGGGCTATCTAGCACCACAGCTTTCATGGTAGCCTTATACATGCCACCATTCCAGAAACACAGTCTTGCTCTCATGTTACAGTGTAAAAGATAATATTACGTGTTAGCTGAAGAAATATCCGAAATTCACTTTTTAAAAAAGTCAGTTTTTAAGTATTTAAATATTTAAAGCCTTTGATATTTTTACTCATTTTCTTGATACTCAGTAATCTGCTAAAGAGTTACTATTCTGATACTCCTTATCTTTTAAAATACAGTTATTCTATAAACATATTGAAATAAATTGAGATAAGTTTTCACTATTTAGTCCTGGCTAGTGTAGAATTGGCTATTTAGACCAAACTTGCTTTGATATCACAGAGATCTTCCTACCTCTGCCTTAATAGTATTGGGATTACAGGTAGGAGCCAACATACCTCAGCATGAAATTGTAACATGAGGGTCTGCTTGTTGGGGTTTCCGTTTTGCCCAGTTCCCAAAGCCAGCAAGTCCCAAAGAAAATCACACAGAGAATCTACATTAGATATAAACGTATTGGCCCATTAGCTCAGGCTTTTTATTAGCTATTATAACTTATTTTAACCCATTATTCTTATCTATGTCAGCCACATGGCTCAGTACCTTTTTCAGCGGGATAGGTCACATCCTGTTTCTTCAGTAGTTGAGACAGGACTCGAGAGAAGAGCTTCCTTCTTCCCAAAATACTCCTGTTCTCATCACCCTACCTCTACATCCTGTCAGGTAGACCTGCCTATACTTCCTGCCTGGCCAATCATAGTTTATTTAAAAAATGATTGACAGAATATAAACAATTCTCCCACACCATGAAATATTACCTCATTGCTTATTAAAGTTTTTCTGTGTCATTACTTTTGTGAAAGAAATAACTCTTATAAAATAATATAGGTAGTAGTGGATGGTTTTTCATGTATTTTACATTCCAGATTCACCATAAATACCCAGGTTTTCCTACCCCACCAAGTACTGTCCAAGGGGAAAAATTCATTTAAGAGTAAGTTTTCATCACAATGTTCGGCCCTTAGCTTGAACATCAGCCTAAACTAGTAATAGTAGTTATTCTAGCAAACATGACATCAAGCTTGGTTTGTATATGCCGGGGATTGATGTGGACAGATTCGCTGTATTCAGTGTCCAGTTACTAATTACCAAAGGTGGGATGGGTTGATGTTTATTATTCTCCTTTTCTGATGAAGAAATTGACACCCAATACACTGTGTGACTTGCCTAAAATAATAACATCAGTAAACGGAGTTGGCTTGTGCAGAGGCACTCGGCTCCCATACCTGTCACAGACACACAGCTCTCCACTTCCTTTCTTAGGAAATAAAAGCTGATCTCTCTGTTGACAGTGCTTCAAATTTATGATGCAAAGGAGTTTCTAATTTCTATGTAAATTTTGCAATTTGTTTCTAATACATAACTCATCCACATTCTTGGGGAGCAGAATTGTTTATTTAACATGCCATGATAAATCTGAGTCACAGCATGGTGGAAGTATCTTTCTTTCTAAAGCAGAGAAATGAATGCTTAGTTGATTGTAATTCCTGTTAAAGTAGCAAGATGCTAAGAAGCATTTTTGAGGGTCAGCATGCTGATTTGTACTTACACATGAACATTTCTTACAACCAACCTATAATAATGCATTTCTTTTTTATTGATTTTTATTGAGCTCTGCACTTTTCTCTGCTCCCCTCCCTGCCTCTCCCCTCCCCTTCAACTCTCCCCAAGGTGCCCATGCTCTCAATTTACTCAGGAGATCTTGACTTTTCCTACTTTCCATGCAGATTAGATCTATGTATGTCTCTCTTAGAGTCCTCATTGTTGTCTAGGTTCTCTGGGATTGTGATTTGTGGGCTGGTTTTCTTTGCTTTATGTTTAAGAATCACTTATGAGTAAGTACATATGATAACTGTTTTTTCTGGGTCTGGGTTACCTCACTCAAAACGATGTTATCTAACTCTGCCCATTTACCTGCAAATTTTTTTCTGGCTGTGTAGTACTCCATTGTGTAAATGTACCACATTTTCCTTTTCCATTCTTTGGTTGAGGATCATTTAGGTTGTTTCCAGGTTCTGGCCATGTCAAACAGTGCTGCTATGAACATGGTTGAACACATGTCCTTGTGGCACGATTGAGCATCCTTTGGATATATACCTGAAAGTGGTATTACTGGGTCTTGAGGAAGTTTTTTCTGAGAAATCACCACACTGACATCCAAAGGGGCAGTACCAATTTGTACTCCCACTAGCGATGCAGGAGGGTTCCCTTTTCCCCACAACCTCTCCAGCATAAGTTGTCATCAGTGTTTTTGATCTTGGCCATTCTTATAGGTGTAAGATGGAATCTCAGAGTTGTTTTGGTTTGCATTTCTCTGATGACTAAGGATGTTGAGCAAATAATGTGTTTCTTTAATGAAAAGGATATGTCCTGAGAAACACACTAGGCAAGCACATCATAGTGAAAATATTTCCGATTTCCAACGTATGCAATTAAAGGAAGTGACAATATTGCTAAGAAGTATGTCACAGAGTACTGACACTTTGTGTAGTTACCAATAACTAACCTTTTAGAATACAGGATATCTCTGGATATAACTAGACTATATTCCTTGTTTTTCAAGTTGAACTCTGAGACATTTTTGGATACAACATAAAATCAATATAAACTACAAAATAACTGCTGAGAAGTAAATCTAGTTGAGTCTATGTGGTACACTCAACAGTAAACAAAAGAAAGAGCATGAGACGTGACTCCAGCCAGTGCTGTGTCTCTACTTATAAGGATAATTCTTCAATTTGCACAGAAGTTTGTAAATATCAGTACACGTTAGACGTGTGATGAAGAACAAAGCAACTGAATGGTTTTTAGTTAGTGTTAACAGAGTTAATAAAGTTAAGTGTTTAAATCATAACTAATAACCTTCTGTTCATGGATGTCACCCAGGGCTTAGAAGGCAAAACTCGCCATTGCTGTAATGTCTTTCCTAGAAATTATCTATCCTCAACTGCTGTTGACAGGACCTCTGGAAAATTAGTACACTGATGCTAATAGGTTCTAGATGCAGCTGCTGCAACAAAGGTCAAGGAGCTTTGGGTACTTAATTACCAAAGTAATGTTTTCTTTCTTTCTTTTTTATAATTACTGGTAGAAAGTGTTAAACAAAACAACATCAGCAACAACAACAAAAAATTAAACTTCCTGGGAAAGCTATAGAAGGCACACTAATGGCCAGGCAGCAAATGTCCACAGTGACCTGACTTCTTCGGTGACTTTTTCTTTTTCTTTCTTTCTTTCTTTCTTTCTTTCTTTCTTTCTTTCTTTCTTTCTTTCTTTCTTTCTTTCTTCCTTTCTTTCTTTCCTTCTCTCTCTTTCTCTCTCTCTCTCTCTCTCTCTCTCTCTCCCTTTTTAGCATTTATATTCAGCTTTCTTGCTAGTGAAGCTTTCTCTAAAAGAAGATTCTTTCACACTTTCCGGTAACTGTTGCAGACAGAGAAGCAGGATAGAAATAATTGTTAGTGTTCCAGAAGAATTTGAATACCTCCCTAAGTACACAAACATTTCCACACATGCACCTGTTACTTGAAGATGTCATTACAAGTCATGTGTGTATATATACACTTTCACATGTAAACACAATGTCTTCTGAGCAGCAAAATAGAAACTGAATTTAAATCATAATCACTCTCTGCTCCATCACTATGAGACTCTGAATGCCAATATTCTCAATAAACAACACAAGAAAACCCATCTTTCTTTCACTGTCTACACGTACAATTGTTTTAAATTATTATTAATTTTTCTGTATTCTGGAAGTTTTATAGACTTCTCTTTTATTCCTTTCTCTGCTTATTAAAATTAAAATATTCTCTGAAATAAGAATCCATATTGAATAAATTGTATGACAATACTGTTTCATCTAGCCCCATAAAATTTATCAAACTTTTACACACAGTAACAAAACAGCACTTAAGGACAGGGCAGTCAAAAGTGATCCCTTTATTAAGTTCTTTATTAAACAAGGGATGCATATTTATTGTAATTGTCTTTATCGAAGTCTGATGACATGAACTTGGATCAGCATGGGCATCAGCCCCTGAATTCTTCCACAGAGCTCTTCTCATTGCATTTTTCCTGCAAGATTTTGTATCAAAACAGAAAGTAATGTAGTTAAACAGTCTTAATGAAGTAATAACAAAAGACTTCCACATATTATAAACTAGGTAAGTGAGTTGATGTTAGGAACAATTGTAAAGGGATAACTAAATGTGGCCTAAAGTAGTGGTCTACCCCCAGTGCTCAGAACAGCTTATATCCTAGGCAAACATAGGCAGAGCATTTTCTTTTGTGAAAAATCAAAAAGACTTAAAGAAATTATCTAAAAGTCAACAAGTGTAGTACTCTGAGATACTCATAGAAATTAACCTTTTCCCAGAAATTGGTCATTTTTCAGTGGAAAACATACACCTAGTCACTCTGCCTGCAGGACAAAGAAAAACTCCTTAGCACTGCTCAGATCGCCTTCCCTACCTATGCCCAACTTTCCCCAACACCTAGATGAACACAGTCATATTCCTCATGATGTAACTATGGTAACAGCTGTATTATATAGTACAAAATAAGCCGTTTAGAGGACTGGAAAACTAAATGTAAAACCAGGCCTTATGGAACTAATAATTATAATGTTAAACATTAATATATCACCTGTATAGAGTATAGGGAATATGTTTATGTTTATACTACTTTCCCCTGGCAACTATTCTTTAGTGAGACAGATTTCTCAGAAATCAGGCTTTCTGTAACAGTGACCCTTGCAAAACAACAATATGCTCAAGTTATTGCCCAAGCTCAGCATCTGACTCATACCTTTGTATGTCCAGTGCTGGAAAACCTACATAAGGCCAAGCAGATCAGGCTTCAGAGATGGATGGAGGCTACTGGCATTCACAACAGGCTTGCACATACAATGCAATCCTGGACCACTTAATTATAATTAGAAACACGACTATAAAGGTGGCTAGAACTTATTATTCAGTGCATTTCTCCATTGTAGACAAATCTACAAACTACAGCCCAGGAATTCGTCTTGAGCTAATTAGGTCCAGTCAGGGACCATAGGGAAGAAACTCCAGTCTTCCATTTACTGTGCTGAGCTAGAATTTGCTCTAGGCTTTATTTGGGTTGCCTCGTTTCATCTTCACAAGTCACAAGGGACTCAGGAAGTTTGAAGAACTTGTCCATACTTACAAAGCATGATCTGGACTTAAAAGTCGATGTATCACCTGCAAGCACAAGATCCCAGTGACCCATGCTACGTTCCAAAGCAGACACAACATCACTGGAGTTGAGAAGAGTCTTGAAAACATCAGTACCTTGGAGTGGAAGAATGTTACCAACATTTTAAAATTTATCTTCACCATTCACTGTAACTGTGACATTAATCCTATGATTTAGGGACTCATAGTCGTTCTACAGAAAACCGAGGCTCAAAAGTGAACTCAAAATCCATAAAGCTAACAAACAGCATTATGCAGGGAGGACTTAGTCCCCGGATTTGAAGTGTGCAGCCATTCTCTTGATGATACCTTGTTTGCATGCCAGGCACGTACATCCAGTGGTAATGACAACTCTCATTATGTGTCAGGCATGATCTTGCACATGTGTGCGTTACTTATTGAATCATCACAGCAACCCTATGAGGCACTTACCTTTTCGTTTATAGATAAGCAAGGTTATCCAGATAGTTGTTAGTTGGGATGCTCATAAGAACAGCATGTGGAAACTATTTTGACCAATTCTAAACTTAACATGGAGACAAGTCCCTAGATTTTAAAGATTCTCGAAACGAGCATGTACTGCAGCAGGAATATAAATGAGATAGGAGGACACAGAGTTTCTCACTTCCCTACCTGCTCATGATCTTAATAACAAATGACAGTTAGCTTTATGGCCTGATGCATTCAATTTCACTTTTGCAATATTTGAGCTACAGGCTGCAGAATACCTGCCCCATTCAAAACTCAGAAAAATGAAGCAAAAAAAGATATATTCCTAGAAGGACAAGGCAATTTTTTTTGTCACCTCTGGTGCTATTATTTAAATTCCCAGTCTGAACAGGAAGATGAGAGGTGGCTTCCCATGAAGCAGCACTACCTTATCTAATTCAGTCTCGTCTACCAAGACACAGGCTTTTCCTTTGATAGAATCTGTGTGTTCATAGTAATGGTGCCTGTCATCAATGAAATAGACAAGAAGGCAGAAGTCAGCCCAAGTTGTGGAAGCGGTAGTGAGGCATCATGAAAGTGTGACTGTCCCAGTGACATTAGGAGGAAATGGTGCACAATAGAACATTCTTCAGGAGCAGATGACCTGAAGTCAACCAAATCTTGCAGAACTAGTTTAAAATTGCCTTCCACTATCCATTCACAAAACATTCTGTGGAAACTATTTTTTTTATCAGTTCTAAACTTAACAAGGGGGACTGTCCCTAGAGTTAACATTGCTGATACAGAGGAACTTGTTAAAGAAGAAAAAAAAATCAAGACCTCTGGAAAAAGAAACTAGCATGTCATCCTGAAACCAGGACAAGCCCGGAAAGGAAGCAGAATTGGAAACTGCAAGATATTATGTCATGTCAGGTGTCTGTGTCAGAAAACTTACAGAAAATATCATTAGGAGTTGAGACATTAATAAGGCGAAGATACAGTTAAAGAAAAAACGGAGCTGTCAAAATTGGACTGGGACCACACAGTCACAGATGGCGCCAGTGAAGAAGAAAGTGTTGGGAAATCTGGAGAGACTGATATGTATCTCCAAGGAGCTTTCTGGGAACAACAAAAATACACAAAATGATGGAAGTCACAACATGTACATTAAAATGAGGGTCAAGTATAATTTAGAATCCTAACAAAAGTGCCAGTGACTATGAAGCAACATGGAATTGAGAAAAATTCTGAAGATATTTTTCACAGTGTCATAAAGGATAATAAACGGAAGCCCTGCTCTTTAGAGCTGAAGATTACAGATGACCAAGAGACAGCAAGCAACATTATTTTACTCCCTCTGGCTTCCTATTTAGATAGAAAAAGAAGATATATTTCTCTCAAAGATGAAAATGAGCCCCAAGTGTGAGGATGTGCCATATGCTTGAGTACAGTCTACACTGTTATGGGGATTTGAAACTGACATGGAAGACATTGAACTAATGTTGATATATTCTTGTTATTTAAAAATAGGAATATATGCCAATCTCTATAATGAAGTCTATGTTATATTACAAAGTATATTACAAACATACTTCTTGCATCAATTCTACTATATTTACAACCATCCCACATGTGTAGAGAATATAAATATATGTTACATATATGGGAGGACCTTCCACATCAACATCCACTTTCCCCATGACACAGATCATTCAAATGAGGTTATTTTTCATCTTGCTGTTGTTGACCTTGGAGTTCTAGTTCTGGCTAAGTGTTCATAATACTATATAGGCTAATTAATTCAAAAGCCTTGAGCTATTTAGACATTGTGCTGACCACAAAGACTATATCATGTTGATAAACTCTATGTGATGTTAGGAATGATGTAAATAAAGATGTGAAACAAGAATTAAGAAAAGATGTTGTATAAAAAAATTGTGAATTAGAAGATTGAGTATCCCCTGGGGATGAAATCTGTACATTAAGAATCTCATAATTCTCTCGCTCAATTAAAATAATGATTAATAGCTCAAACTTCAGAATTCCTAGGATGTAATATGCATAAAATTTACATCACTTCCTCTCCAAGGATGGATTTTATAGATTAATGGATGGAAAGAGAAGTGGGCAGGTCTACACATTATAGATTGATCCATCTGTAGATATGCCGATTTTCAGAAGACAGAGTGACTAAGCCATCACTATCTTCTAGTCATCATTGACTATTTATTCCTGTGTGTATCAAGTAGAGATAGACTTGTTCATCATAAAAGACTCCTTCTTTATCCCTTTATAACCGTCGTTTCTCAATCATAGTAAACAAGGTTATTATATTCTTATAAGCACCTAGACATCTCAGTGGTGTACCACATAAAGTCTCTTTCCTTTTCAAAATGGTATAAGGCAGGCAGCCTCAGTTTCTTCGCATCAGTCTCCCTCCCAGGGCTGCAAAGCAATTCCTTTACATACCATACAGCCAACTATCTCCACACCTTGTGCTGCAACACAACTGCCCCATGCTTCAGTTTCATCATCCTATGTATGTGAGGTCAGTCCAGGATGTCTTCCATTCCATATGCTTTCTTCCTGATTTGGCTAATTATACAATGTGACTCAGTTTTGATTAGTAAGTAGCTGATGTTGCACATTGCCTGAGGTCCTGAGAAGCCTACAAGTTATCTGCTTAGGGTCTCAATTCCTAAAGGGCATAGCCCAAGAGGTAGAGGCCCAAGGAGGAGGACTAGAAAATGCTGATCTCCTCTAAGATTATACTACAAAAATAGCTTCTGCCCCCTTTCAGCGTCTTTTTTTTTTTTTTTTTTTTTTTTGGTTAAGAGGATTATGTATGGTTCATGGAGTGAAATCCACTTGGGATAGCTAAAGGGACATGTAGGCAACTTTAGTCCATAGGCTGAAGAACTCGTGCTTGCAACTTGACAATTTTAGAGACAGAATTGTTACAAATGACCAGCTATGAAAACATACATACAAGTAACATTATGTAGCCTGAGTAGGTAGGTTATATTTACATGTGCATGTATGTATATGTGTGTGTTTGTGTTTTCAATACCAATTAATGAGGATGAAGCCATGAATTTGAAGGAAAGTAGGGAGAACATATGGGAAGGTTTCAAGGGAGGAAATTGAAAGGGTAAATATTATTCATATTCTAATCTCAAAATTAAAAATAAGAGTTTAAAGAAAGAGAAAGACAGATCTGTACACCCTCATCAATTTCAGTGAAGAGATTTCCATCGTTAAAATGACATATTGAAATTGAATAAATGGTTAAGTGGTTAAGATTGGTTGCAGCTCTTTCAAAGGTTTGGAGTTTGATTCCCAGTTCCCATATCAGGCAGATTATAGCTAGCTGCCTGTAACTCCAGCTCCAGGGAGAACTGCCTTTGGCCTCTATTAGTAACCAGAATCATATGCACGCGCACACACACACACACAGACATATATATATAATTTAAAATATTATGTTTCAAATAAACACACTCCTCTTCAACTCAGAATTTGTTAGGTCCAAATGGATTGAATGACAGCACCAAGCAATGGGGTGCCTGTCTAGGTTAAGACTTGGAGCTTTGTAGGAAGCAGCAGATATGTCACGAGTTAATACACACTGGTAGGTGGACTTATCACCATAAATTCTAGCACACCATCAGCAATACCACTATAGATCATCCTCCACAACTGGCAGGTCAATCTTTGCACTGATTGTCTCCTGTCCACACTTCCAATAAGTTTCCTCCTCTTGAATTCCATTGTTCTCTCTATCAACAAACCATCAGAGAAACTTTTCTTTCCTATAAGAAGACACCCTTCCTAGTGGTTGATATATTTTTTAAAGCATACATGAAGAGATTTAAAAGCCCTCAACCTAAATATTTGAAAATCACATAAAATTGTAAGACTAATGTACCTCATTCAAAGTACAAAACAGTCTTACCTTCATCCTTGGTATAGCCTGTTTGTTGAGCCCCCCTCTTTGGCTGCCTGATCTGTGACTTCCAATTGACATGAATGTTCCATCTTTAATGCTGTCCCTTTGTCATTCATATCAAGTATTAATTTTTCATAAATTGTAGAATATGTAGAAACAAACCTATATTTAAGCCCAGTTCTCAGGTTATATTTTAGGGTAAGAGTGTTATATCTTAATATTAATATTACATATTAATATTTTGACTGTTTTTATGTGTACCTGTTTTCTCAAAGGATAAACTTTGGTTTTAACAATTTTCCTCTACTTTACAAACAACTAATTTGTAAATCTCTACTTTTATTATTGTTAGCATTTTTGGATGAGCACTGTAGTTCTTTCCCTTAAATTATTAAATTGAATCCAAGCTCAGTTATTCTGCCTCTCCCACTCACAAAAGCACTTAAGGGGATGGTTAACCATTGTGTAACATGTGGCTGTCTCATATTTTTACATATTATAAATCATAATAATGACAGGTAAAATAGCCTATAATAACATTGTATTAAAAATATCTATATAACTAGGAAAACTTGGGATGAATCGAAAAACATGAAATTCTATATCTAAAACTTTGGCACATATTCTATTTCTGCTTTGTTCATATTTTTCAATGATAAGTCACTGAAATTATTCATTCATTTTACAACTATGTTTGTTTTTTTACTTGAGATTCTTTTATTAACATGTTTCTTTTTTAGTAAAGTGAGCCTTTTTGGTGTATCTTTTCTCTTTTAAAGATCAACTTTATTTTAAGAATAATCCATGTTCTATGTGACACTCTGATTCTAAGGTCCTAAAGTTGATTCTAATGTTTCTCTTCATAAATATAATAAAATACTGCTCATATTTGATGTGTTCACTATGATGGCATATTCCTATATATGTGATATTTGGACTGAATGTTTCTTAAAAATGAAGATTTGGGTATCAGGTGATTATTTCTACAGACACTGGTGATAATTTAATAATTGACTTTCCAGGAACCAAAAATAAACTGTCTCTTCTTACTGCATATTATCCTTCTGTATTGACTGGTTTTGCATCTCTCGACAGAAGCTAGAATTATCAGATTGAGGCATCCATCTTCAGCCTCCAGGCTCATGGTATCTAGGAGACTTGTCTGGATACCTTGAAGCAGAAAATTTCCACCTATATTGGCAGTTTGTCAGTCACTTTCTTCTGTGTCCTGCAGAATGTCTGGCAGATTCTTTCATGAAGCAGGAACACTGACAGACAGTCTCTCCTACTTTAGGTAACATCAGCAGTCATTTTTCTGTAGGTCCTGCATATCCAGTTTATACAGAATACCATCAAGCAGTCCAGGCAAGACCAATTTCTTGCCCAAATGACTAGCCTTGTCATATAGAAGGCAAATTCCATAACAAGTTTCTTCAATGACCATCAACCTCTCTGATACCTTAAACAAGAGAAAAAAATATTAATATAACAAAATTGACCTTAAATTTGTATAAACAAACCAACATCCATACCAATGTAAAGTACTCATCTCTATATTATATCCCCCCTTTTAAAAGAGATTTACTGTGACCTTTAACAATTTATACCCCACTTCTTTTAAATAAAAACAAACATTTATAAACAATTGTCTTGGGAATTTGGGCACTGTTTTCTCTAAGCTACTTCCTGCTATTTGTTGGGAACAAAAAAAAAAACATTTTTAGGGTTCATGAAGATCTTTCGGGAGGGTCAGGTTCCATTAAACCACATTATCCTGGAAGAAACCCACAGGTTCCCATCCTCTGTGGACACAAAAGCAGAACCTCTTTTCCAAAGCAACATATCCTTAGACCCAAATTTTGAAGTCAAAATATTATTAAAATATCTGTGTTGATTTAGCTTAGCAGTCCCTACAATCAAATATCTCTCTGCAGGTAGCTCATTAACAGTTGTAAAATTCAAAGAAAACATAATAATATACACAATCCAGATTCTCTGCCTGTAGTCCATATTTATGTGATTTATTATTTTTACTCTACTAGTTTATAATATTTATTTTATTATCTTTACTCCTTTAATCTATGACTGTCTGCATTCTTTCTTCTCTCTCTCTTAAGCCCATGTACATTTATTCAACACTGTGACTCATTCAGAGATCTTTTTAATCTGAATTTGTATTATTGTGTATCTGTAATCATTTTCTACCAGGAGTCTTTTTTTTTTTTTAATGGTAAGCGCAGTTGTGACTATGACTAATGCTGTTGGGTTTTGGCTGTTGGGTCTGCCCCAATCAACATAGCAGTGGTATGTTCATCACTTATGCTTACCACCCCAGCTCCAGAGAAGCAGCAGGTCTATGTCGCTTTTAAGTAACTAATAGCATGCTGCTCACAAACCCCATTTAAGTACAAGACCTACTGAAAGAATCAGAGACATTTGTGCTGCCAGCATCAACCAAGAAGCCCTCTCTTAAAGAAGACTTGCAATTTTTGCTGCTAATGCTGAGTCAGGAAGCCATCTCTTAAAAGAACCATGTCTCTACTTTTAGTGAGCAAACAGAGCCTATCTGAAAGTATGCAGCTACTTAGAAGCTTCATTGACTCCCATTTTTATGGGTAAAGAAACCCTTTTCCTAACATTTTTAGGCTTTATGTGAATGTACATTGCCAAATGTTGGGCACCATTTTATAAACAGAGACTGCTCATGTGTTTCTCTGATGCCCTGATCCAAATAATCACACAGAAACTATGTTCATTACAACACTTAATGAACATAGTTTAGACAATAACTTAAGTGTATTCCTAGCTAGCTTTTCCATCTTAAATTAACCAGTTTCTATTAATCTATGTATCACCATGAGTCTGTGGCCTACTGATAAGATTTCAACATTTCTTTCCTTTGGAAACTACATGGTATCTCTTTGGCTCTCTCTTTATATATCTCTGTTCAGTTTTCCTGCCTCACTTTACTCTTCTAAGCCATTAGCTGAAACAGCTTTATTAATCAACACCAATAAAAGCAACACATATGCAGAAGTACATCCCCCAGAACATGTGTGATAAATCAGAATAGAGATAGCCTTGGAGTGGGTTTATTTCCATTATGTAGGTTATAGGGCTTGCACTTCAGTGGCAACTTCCTTTAACTGTAAAATTATCTAACAGGGTTCCAAATTTGCTTTGCATTTCTTTGATTATTCTTTCCTAGTAAATTTTTTATTTGGTTGGTTTATGAGTATTTTCTTATTGCTTTGTGATAAAAATATAAATCTATTATATTTGCTGTATGTGTTGAAACCATTACTAAGTTTGTCTTTAAATTTTTCCTGGTTCTTTTTTCAGCACCATAGACTTTTGAATTATTATTGTAATCAATCTATTAATCTTTCAAGTGTTAATTAGGCCTTTTACTTCAAATTTATATCAATATAATATTTAATATCCTTTCATACAAATATAATTGGGGTTCATAATCATCTGTAGATGATCTATCCAGTTGAGAGGTAAACTTGAGTTTCACTTTGATGCTGCTCCTTTTGAGCTCATTTGCTAATATTGAGGGAGTCACTATATGAGTGATTTGTGATTTAACTCTTGGTAGTAGCTAATGGGGAGAAAGTGGGGAGCTTTCTTAGGCTTAAATAGACAATGTCTCCCTATGCAGCATTTGTGAACCAATAGCTCATAAATCATGACACAGAGACTAGTTGGTTATGAATGCACAGCCTTAGTTTAGATTTGTTTATGGCTAGCTCTTTAAAACTTAAGTTAACCTGTTTCTCTTCATCTATGTTTTGCCCCAGGGTTTTTTACCTTTCTTCTCTTCTGTATGTCCTACTTCCCTGCTTCCTCCGTGTCTTGCTGACTGGATGGCAGTTGCCTAGCTGGCAGGCTCCTGGCATCTCCCTAGGGCAAAACATCTCCCTTTCTTATTACCTCATTCTCTCCCTGCCCACCAGCCCCAACTATCCCTCCTCTGCTTAGCTATTGGCTATTTAGCATTTTCTTAGAACAATCAGGTGCATTTGGCAAGCAAGAAAAAACAGCAACACATCTTTTCATAGTTAAACAGATATTCTAGTACAAAATACTCCTGGACTGAGAGCACAACTTCCTCAAGTTAACCTCATGCCTGTCACATTTTGTCTTAAATATTACCAAGGAAATAGCTACCCTTTCTGGGACAGTGGAGCTACTTAATCCTTTGTCTCATTTCTATAGATTTTTATCCTGTTCTCTGAAACATCAGGCTTGCAGACACTGCCTCTCTCCTTCAGTACCTTCAGAATGTTAAGGACAAAACTGCTGGGTGAGGTGTTGGCTTTCCCGTGGTAGAAGTTGCCTCTGTGGCCAGGCCTGCATGGCTGGTAGATATTTTCTCTGGTCCTGCACTCTATCTCTTTTTGTTCATCCTTATTTTTCCCTTTTCCTTTTCTTTTTTTATATCACAGGATTTCTTCATCTGGTCAGTGTGGCTTAGAAGTCACAATTCTTCCTACTTAGACTGCCAAGTACTATGATTACATGCATACACCACTGTGCCTAATTTGCCTCTCATCTTTCTTCTAAGCACATGATGGAGGATGAAAAGATCCAGCAAAACTGCATGCAAACTCTCTCAGAGCCCCTGAGACAGGAGGGTAGTGACTGCCAAGTAAGACATCAAGATGAACACATGAAAGAGGACATGTTGGAAACTCCTTTTTTAAACCTGGGTTTCATTTAATGGACAGGGCAAGGCATGTGCCAAGAAATGCCTAGGGATGCCATGCAAATATAAAAATCTCAGAAAGGATGAGACCGCTGGCACTACTTTTGAGATTCTCCCCTCAAGTTATTATCCTGGTCCTATTCTAAAGTGTGCTTATTATTTCTTAACAATTTGTCTCCTTCCATGACCCTGTGAATAATCCTACTCTTTTTCTGGACACACCTCCACATCACCATGCAACTTTTTGCCTACTTCCACTGCTTAACTTGCCTGATTTCTTGGGCCCTAACTTCAGAGGTTATAACTTCATTTTTATTGTTGTTTTATTTTGAGATTGTATTTTAATTACACCATTTTTATTTCCCTTTCATTACTCCAAACAATCCCAAATATTCTTCCTGCTCTACTTCAAAACCATAACCTCTTTTTTCATTAGTTGTTACTTCAATGCACACATACACACACAAACAGAGAAAGAGACAGGCAGAGACAGAGTCAGAGAGACAGAGAGAGATTGATTTGTATACAGTCCTAAATACAGTTTGCTGAGCTCATGAAATTTTGCTTGTATGTATGTATGATATCAGGGCTGACCATTTAACACTGGACAACCAATTGCTATGCTCTTTCCTGGAGAGAGCCACTCTTATTAAGGATTATTCTCATTTGGCAAATTGGTTGTAGATTCTTTGCTAATAACCGTGATTTCACGACCACTGCTCAATTGACTAGATTTTTAGTACCAGACATGACATCTCTCTTTTTGAAAGGAGGAGAGAACTGTTGGTTATCCCCAAGGTATGTGTGCTACTGTTGCAACCATGGGGTTATCCTGCCATGCTAGTCATTTTTGTGATCCATAGATGTTGTAGCGGAGAGGGCAGCTTGTTTGTACTAGCTGCCCAGGCTAACTTACACCCAAAATAACCACACAGAAATTATATTAATTGAATCACTGCTTGACCAATTAGTTCTATCCTCTTTATTGGCTAACTCTCACATCTTGATTTAACCCATTTCTATTAATCTGTATATCGCCACATGGCAGTGGCTTACTGGGAAAGATTCAGCATATCTGACTCTGGCGGCTCCATGGCAGCTCTCTCCTCTTCTTTCTTTCTCCCTGAATTCAGTCATGTCTCCCCACCTACCTAAGTTTTGCTTTATCAGGCCAAGCTATTTTTTCTTTATTCATTAATCAATGAAAGCAACATATAGACAAAAGGACCTCCTACACCACATAGGTATCATAACTGAGTAGGACTCTTTGTTGTCTCCATCCTTTGGAAGGTTTCATGGCAGCACCTTCTGGTAACATGAAAATTAGTTGTGAGGGAGAAGGCATTAATCTCAGTTCCATCTCAGAGACATATAGGCTCTGTTTCTGAAGTGCATGGTATCTTCAGGACTTATCTTCCACCTCCGGAAAGTAGCAATATGTTTTGGGAGTCTCCTACACAGCCTGGCCAACAACTCAAAAGAGGCTTTCTAATGCTTTTTGTTGTTGTTTTTGTTGTTTTATTTTGTATTTTATGTTGTCTTTGGCTCTTGGGAGGAATATCATTAGCCTTTGTGATATATGTTCATTAACATTAAATATGTTAATTTATACACTGAATTACATGTTATAGTTGTGAGTATGTATGTATGTGTTACTACTACTAATAATAATAATCTCTATGGCTTTTTAAATATCCATGGTGTTATTTCACCTATCTCCCATCATCTTCTGTCTTTGCCTCCCTCTC